TCTAAACGCGTTAGCTTTTATCTCCCCTTTGGATGGAATTTGCATGTGACCTGTAACCCTGTGTGGACTATGGTTATTGTATGCCTGTTTTATCACTACTCTTGTGAGTATATTTCTTTAACAAAATTATTCATTTTACTGAGGTAATGCGCAAGGTTGGTACGCTGTTTTTTCCTCTTCTACGGAAAGAAAACTACAACTAGGCCAACCTCAGCATCTCTAATTGATGCCAGGTCAGTGGGGGAAACATAGCCTAATTCAGAGATTTCTATCATATGGGATTTCAGAGTGGCTATTATGAATCTATAGCAGCCAAAATCACCACAATGTCTGGCGAAAGTACTCTGGGGTCCAGCCAATCTTCAACGTCTTCTATTGCCTCCACCAAGAAATCAGTGAATCGAGGGGTCTGTTTCAACTGCGGAGAAATGGCACATTTCAATGTAATTTGTAACCAAGTCCAAAAGCCAAAAGCAGAAACCAGCGGGAAACTTCAGAGGGCCCAGAGAAGGAGCCAACTGGCACCCATCTTCAGCAGTTGATCTGAGTGACCAGACAACCCGATCCCATCGATTTTGGGTGCTCAACCTCAGAAAGTCAGTGCACAACAGCCCCCTGGGGCCAAATGAGGAACAAACAAGCCTGGAAGAGCATCAAGAAAGGGGCACAAATACAGACAACAGGACAGATTAACCACCCAACGCCTGGCAAATTCCCTGACAAACTAGTGGGACCATCTCCTATCGTGCCAAACCAAGTGGAAGGCATCTATAGAAAGGCCGTTCTAGACATGCGGGCACAAGTGACCCTGCTATACTGAGACTTTTACAACTGGCCCCTCAAACACTTGCCCCTGCAGAAATTGGAGGAATTATAAATATGTGGCCTTGAATCTCCCATATGACATATGATTACTGTTTGAGTTGACCTTTGACCCTTCCAATCAGTAACATTTGACACCCTGGCTGTTGTATGCCCTTGCCCATCAGGAGTCAACAAGAGTTCCCTGATATTAGGGACCAACATTGATCTTGTCAGGAGGCTACTCACTCTCCTGGACAAGCTGAAAGACTAGTTGTATGGTGCAGACCTTGGAAGAGTAGGATAAGCCAAAAGTCAAAACTGACAACAACCCGCTCACATATATCCTTACCATAGCCAAGCTGGATGCCACTGGGCAAACGTGGTTTGCCACCCTATCAGGGTTCTGTTTCAGTATCAAAAAAAGTTATAAAATAAATGTGATAATGTGATCAACATCTATTATATTGCGCTATTTGCAACTTAAATGTGTAAGAGCTGCCACTATTTATAAACCAAAAAACATTTTGAAATAAAAAACACCAAATGAAAATAGTGTTAAAAGTAAATAAAAAAATAAGTAAATATAAAACCATATAATAAAATCACATAAATGCCCATAAAATTCAATAATAATAATAACACAAATATGTGAAAAGTCTGATTACTGTAAAAAATAATTGCAAACTAAAAAGTGATGGAAAGTCCATGTAAAAAGTGTGATAAAATAATCCAAAAGTCCATGAAAATGAATCTTCTATTTCACCATGTGCAGCAAAATGATAACAAAGTGCTCCATAGAATACCCCACATGGATGTAAATTCACCAAAAATATTTGCCTTCCACTCTCGTGGTCGGCAGCCAAGCTTCTTGAGACATATTTCCCATTTAAAGATAAATATGAATCACTGAAGATAAAGATTCCACTGCATCCAAGTTGACCATATAAAACAAACAAAAAATGCTCCAATGGTGTAGTATGAACAAACAGATTCTTTAATAAAGTGATTGGACCTTACTCACAAGAAAAATCAATCAAACAAGCCCGTCTATTAAATCCTCTGATAAGCCTGAAGTGAACATAGACCAGGTGCTCTCACCACCTCCGGTTTGTTGTTAATGGATGCCGTTGTGTCACTTCTGGTCACGGGCCACGTCACTTCCGGTCACAGCACCGTCAAGCCCTGACGCGTTTCGTCACTTCCGACTTACTCATAGGGGTGACGGTGCAGCGAGCTACTCTTTATAGTCCCAGCAATCAGAGACATTAATCCTCCAATTGGTCAACTGCAATACACACCTCCATACAGGATATACTTGGGACCCTTACCTCAGAAAAGAAAAACATTGAAGCAAGCACATTGCAGCCATTGTACATGCCTACAATAGCACTGGAAATTATCAACTGCCAGTTGACATAGCATTCAGCACCTCTTTAGACCACACCTGGTGTCACACAAAGGATATATGGACCACCTGAGGAAAAGTCTGAAAACAGCATATGGGAAGGCCCTCGTTGCCTCAGACACTTGGGGACAGTCAAACAAAAGAAACTTTGACCTGAAGCCTGGTGACAGAGTGTTGCTGAGAAACTTGGATGTCCCTGGAAAACACAAGCTGGCTGATCACTGTAAGTCACATCCTTATATCATCTGTAAGCAGCTGCCAGAGCTACCAGTATACCATATCTGTCCAAAAGGAAGCATGGGCACACTAATGACCCTGCACCAAAATTACCTACTGTTGCTATCAGAAGCAGTTTGTGTACCTCAACAACCAGATCCACGGCCTGTTCAACCACCACTCAGAGATCATGCCCAGTAACCAGGTCTCAATCCTTGCCATCAAGTGCAGATGAAGAGGACAGTGAAGAAGAAGAAATGGGCATGGACTGGCTGTGACCATCTACAATGTCAGAGACTACCACTTCTTCTCCTTTGCAGATGCAAGTACTGAGGCCCTCAGGCCTGAGGCTGCAGAATTTATACCTCAGACCCAGTCTCTACCAACTCAATAAGCTCTCACGCACCCCTGACTACAGAGGACTCAAAAACTTTTTAACCTTCTATAGTGGAACAAGAAGAGTCCATTGTACCTGAAACACCTGAGCCTAAAGGGCCAAAGGGGTAAGTGCACAATGCTCCCCCCCAAAAAGACTAACTAAGGACATATTAGACAAAGGTCAGAAGAAGTCATCTTAACCTCTCAAAGAACTCACAACATGCCGACCATTCCCATTGTAGACGTAGTGGAAGCAGCTCCAACTAGTTGGGCCATCCCAATATCCATGGCTTGTGGGCAAGGCAACCTACATGTAAATTCCTTGTTTTCATACATGTACTAACCGGTTTTGCCTCCTGATGTATTTTTTAAAGCATGCAACAGGTTGTGTACTTTATATTCACATTAACTCTGCCCTCCTTAGGGGACCTGTCAGGAATGGACTGGCCAGCAATAGTGGGACTCGCCTGCCTTATGAGCTGCAGTACCAGGGCTGGCCAGCGGGTGCTCCCAGCAATCAGAGACTCAACCTTGCAGCCAGTCAAACACCTGGAACTAATTATACTGGTGTATTTAAGGGACATTCAGACCTGCAGACTCTGTCTTGGTGTTGTGTTTCTCCTGGGCCCTGTTTCCTGTTCCTGTTCCTGTCTGATTCTCTGCTGACCCTGCTCTGATCCCTGGCTTGTCTGACCATTCTCCTCTGCCTGACCCTCTGTACCACGCTGCCCGCTACCTGCTGAACCTGGCTTGTGACCCCGACCATTCTCCGCTTGCTCCCCCTGTACCTACCTGCCCAATTGATATTGACCCGGCCTGCCTGACGACGCTTGCATTGTATGTACTGTTATCTGTGGGTGGTTGTTGGTTTGGTTTGTTTGCACTGCGTTATGTTTTAGTATTGCACTGCGTTTATGTTTGTATTGTTAGTGTTAATAAATTACATTGTTTATAACATATCTGCGTTTCCCTGCGTCAGTCACACACCTCTGGTCACACCCGGGAGCCCTGACATTACACCAAGGCCAATCCTGACCAGAAGTGGCTGCACAGGGAGGCAATCTTGGTTTGTTGATGGGAAGGATGGATCTTGATGAGGTTGAGTATTTATATCTGCTAGTGTTTGATGACAGAGAGTATGCTTATCAAACTCTGAAGGAGTATACCCGGGATGAACTGCTAGAATGTATACGGCTCGCTCATGTTCTAGTAGATCAGGGCACAGAATTCTCTGAGGTGCAGCCATTGATTCAGGTTTGTGCTGAGTTGGTTTCATCTGGTACCCCCGAATGCAGGGATGAATTTTTGCCACCATTTAGTGCAGACCAGGTAGAGTCCCTGGTATGGTTATTAGAGGATGATGTGGGTTACTTTCTGGAGCGTTATTCTGCATGTTCACCACAGGTACTAAGAGATTGTATAAACGCAGTGCAGTCTTTGGTCAGACAGGCTTTGTGTAAGCTCAGCTTTGTTCAACCCATACTGCAGACATGGACAGATTTGTTACACCCAGCCTCAGTCAGCTTACAAAGACCCAGTCCTGCTTCTAATCTATTTCCTCAAAGCTCTACTCCTGTATTCCCAACAGCTCCTCCAGTTACAGCCCAGTATACTTGGCTATCTACCGCATGTCAGTACCCTGTTCCCACTCGCTGCACCTATCCTGCCTTTAACCCTGTAAAAAAGCCCTCTGTAGCAACTGCTCCCTCCTCTGTCCCATCCTCCAGCTCTTCTCTGTCTCCAGCTGCTCCATTCGTTTGCAGACCTGCGTTTACTTGCAGTGCTCCAGTAGTTAAAACCAGAAAAAAGCGAAAATTCTTTCCAACCAGTACCATCCTGCCAGTATCCAAACCGGTGAGCCTGCCGTCTGAGAACCTGCCTTCCGTGGTTCAGCCTGAAGCCTCTACCCAGCCTGAAGCCTCTACTCAGCCTGAAGCCTCTACTCAGCCTGATGCCTGTACTCAGCCTGATGCCTGTACGCAGCCTGATGCCTGTACGCAGCCTGATGCCTCTACTCAGCCTGAAGCCTCTACTCAGCCTGAAGCCTCTACTCAGCCTGAAGCCTCTACTCAGCCTGAAGCCTCTACTCAACCTGAGCCTCTACTCAGCCTGATGCCTCTACTCAGCCGGATGCCTGCATTCAGCCTGATGCCTCTACCCAGCATGATGAACTGATCCAGCCTGACGATCCTATTAGGCCTGGTGACCCGATGCCCGCTGTCGAGCCAGACAATCCGGTACCTGATTACCCGGTGCCCGCTGTCATGCCAGTTGACTCAGAGCCCGCTGTCGTGCCTGGTGACTCGGTGCCCACTGCCTTGCCAGGTGACGCGGTGCCCACTGGCAAGCCAAATGACCTGATGCCTGGTGACCCAGTGCCCGCTATCATACCTGGTGACCCGATGCCCGCTGTCGAGCCAGACAATCCGGTACCTGATGACCCGGTGCCCGCTGTTCCGCCAGTTGACTCGATGCCCGCTGTTCTGCCAGATGACTCGGTGCCTGCAGTCTTGCCAGACGACTCGGTGCCTGCAGTCTTGCCAGACGACTCGATGCCCGCAGTCTTGCCAGACGACTCGGTGCCCTCAGTCTTGCCAGACGACTCGGTGCCCGCTGTTCCGCCAGTTGACTCGATGCCCGCTGTTCCGCCAGACGACTCGGTGCCCGCAGTCTTGCCAGACGACTCGGTGCCCGCAGTCTTGCCAGACGACTCGGTGCCCGCAGTCTTGCCAGACGACTCGGTGCCCGCAGTCTTGCCAGACGACTCGAAGCTCGCTGTTCCGCCAGTTGACTCGATGCCCCCTGTTCCGCCAGTTGACTCGGTGCCCGCAGTCTTGCCAGACGACTCAAAGCCCGCTGTTCCGCCAGTTGGCTCGGTACCCGCAGTCTTGCCAGTTGACCCGCAGTCTTGCCAGTTGACTCGGAGCCCACTGTCGTGCCTGGTGACTCGGTGCCCGCCGCTCCGCCTGGGGGCCCGAGACCTGTCGCTCCGCCTGGGGGTCCGGTGCCTGTCGCCCCGCCTGGGGGCCCGATGCCTGTCGCCCCGCCTGGGGGCCCGATGCCTGTCTCCTCGCCTGGGGGCCCGATGCCTGTCGCCCCGCCGGGGGGCCCGATGCCTGTCGCCCCGCCGGGGGGGGCCTGTCGCCCCGCCGGGGGGCCCGATGCTCGTTGCCCCCGCTTGGGGGCCCGATGCCTGTCGCCCCTCCTGGGGGCCCGTCGCTCCGCTCCGCTTGGGGGCCCGATGCCTGTCGCCCCGCCGGGGGGCACGGTGCCTGTCACCCCGCCTGGGGGCTCGGTGCCTGTCGCCCCGCCGGGGGGCCCGGTGCCTGCTGCTTCGCCTGGTAATCCGATGTGCCTCTGCCCGGAGTCCAGCCCGACGTGCCGCTGCCCGGAGTCCAGCCCGACGTGCCTCTGCCCGGAGTCCAGCCCGACGTGCCTCTGCCCGGAGTCCAGCCCAACGTGCCTCTGCCCGGAGTCCAGCCCGACGTGCCTCTGCCCGGAGTCCAGCCCGACGTGCCTCTGCCCGGAGTCCAGCCCGACGTGCCTCTGCCCGGTGTGCCGCTGCCCGGAGTCCTGCCCGGTGTGCCAGTCTTTGATATCCCGCCAGTTACCAGACCCGGGCGGTGGAACATTTTGCCCAGCTAGGACTGTTTGGAGTGTCCTGAGGCCGCTCCTTGAGGGGGGGGGGTACTGTCAGGAATGGACTGGCCAGCAATAGTGGGACTCGCCTGCCTTATGAGCTGCAGTACCAGGGCTGGCCAGCGGGTGCTCCCAGCAATCAGAGACTCAACCTTGCAGCCAGTCAAACACCTGGAACTAATTATACTGGTGTATTTAAGGGACATTCAGACCTGCAGACTCTGTCTTGGTGTTGTGTTTCTCCTGGGCCCTGTTTCCTGTTCCTGTCTGATTCTCTGCTGACCCTGCTCTGATCCCTGGCCTGTCTGACCATTCTCCTCTGCCTGGCCCTCTGTACCACGCTGCCCGCTACCTGCTGAACCTGGCTTGTGACCCCGACCATTCTCCGCTTGCTCCCCCTGTACCTACCTGCCCAATTGATATTGACCCGGCCTGCCTGACGACGCTTGCATTGTATGTACTGTTATCTGTGGGTGGTTGGTTTGGTTTGTTTGCACTGTGTTATGTTTTAGTATTGCACTGCGTTTATGTTTGTATTGTTAGTGTTAATAAATTACATTATTTATAACATATCTGAAGTCTGCGATTCCCTGCGTCAGTCACACACTTCTGGTCACACCCGGGAGCCCTGACAGGACCAAAGTTTCTTTAGTGGTGGGAGTGTGAAAGGGATGCTCTCTTCATCCCCTCTCCCGTACTGTGGAAGAGTGACAGCAGGCTGCACTCCCCCCGTTCGAGCCATGGCCACCAAAGCGGGAGACTGGAAAGCAGTGTAGTGACAGGGATCCGCTGTGGGCTCTTTCCTCCCCCCTTTCTCACACTGCTACACAGGAGAACAGATCAGCACTTACTAGGATCACCATCTGCTCTGAAATTTTGGTATTTCTTTCAGGGTATGCAAATTTTGGGCACAACTGTATATCACCATATCGGAAGCACACTATATCTGGACTGGATCTGATAGCGGGGGTGAGTGGCTTTATGGCCAGGGCAAAGAGGTAACGGAGGGAGGAGACACCATTGCCAGGGTCTGGTGGGAGGTATCATACTCGATTAACCATATAATGCTGAGTAAAGATGTTTGAAGAAAAAAGGATTTGGCAAAAGTGTGGCTCTTTGTATATTGCATTTGCCTGCAACCCCAATTGCCCACAGCACCTACGGCTGGAGATGAAACTAGAAGTGTGCTTTGAGTAGTAGCACTTGCAGACCAACATATATATCTACATGGACACAACAGATACCTTTGTGTTTATTAAAAAGTAGAATAGGATTTCATAGGTTATCTGCTATGATTACGTCTGGAGAGTTTGGTACTGTACTTTTAGCTAATTACTGCTCCCATTGTGCTCCTTCTAGCAATATGTTAATTATGAAGCTTGCCATGATTTGTTTGTTATGGTTTTATGTATGTATGCATTAAGTACATTAAAAATGTCATCTACTAATATACAGTATTTTAGCATTCACAGTAAGGCATTGTAGATCATTTGCATCCATTTATTTAAAAAAAATAGAAAACTTTGAAGATGTCCAATAAATGTTCAAATTTCTAATAAAAGTTTTATCCCTAAAATTAGTCTCAACATTAACAATGTGCTCCTTATTATGCTTTTGGCTCTGTTTTTAGAGAGACAATATTGCCCACTGATGACTAAACGTTTGGTACCATTTATAAAGGGTTTAGTATGTAATAGAAACATCTGACATGTCCCTCATGACCAGAGGTTACAGCATTAGTGACTGACTGCATCAGTAAAAGAATGTATACACTCAGCACATTATGAAACATCAGACAACATATGAAAGATTAATTGTTGCTTTTCAAAAAAAAAAAAATCAAAATTACAGCTTGTATATTATTGCTGTAAAATTAAACTTCACCCAAGGTAAAGTTCATTTGGACATCATACATTAAAAATTATATATTACTTCTCCAGTCTTTCCAAAAAATTCTGGCAAGCACATAAAGCCACCACCAAACTTATTCAACACTGCTCAAAAAAGGGACACTATTTAATCAGAGTATAGCATAATAAGTCAATTACACTCCTGGGATATTGATCTGGCCAGTTAAGTAGCAGAGGGGGTTGTTAATCAGTTTTAGTTGCTTTGGTGTTAATGAAATTAACAACAGGTGCACTAGATGGGCAACAATGAGATGACCCCCAAAACAGGAATGGTTTTACAGGTGGAGGCCACTGACATTTTTTTGCCTACTCATGTTTTCTGACTGTTTTTCTCTAGTTTTGCATTTGGCTATGGTCAATGTCACTACTGATACCTGGACCCTACAGAGGTTGCACAGGCAGTCCAACACCACCAGGATGGTACATCAATATGTGCCATTGCCAGAAGGTCTGCTGTGTCTCCCAGCACAGTCTCAAGAGCATGGAGGAGATTCCAGGAGACAGGCAGTTACTCTAGGAGAGCTGGACAGGGCCATAGAAGGTCCTTAACCCATCAGCAGGACCAGTATCTGTTCCTCTGTGCAAGGAGAAACAGGATGAGCACTGCCAGAGTCCTACAAAATAATCTCCAGCAGGCCACTGGTGTGAATGTCTCTGACCAAACAATCAGAAACAGACTTTATGAGGGTGGCCTGAGGGCTGAAATCCTCTAATGGGCCCTGTGCTCACTACCTGGCACCATAGAGCTTGATTGGCATTTACCATTGAACACCAGAATCGGCAGGTCCACCTGTGCTTTTCACAGATGAGAGCAGGTTCACCCTGAGCACATGTGACTGACGTGAAAAGGTCTGGAGAAGCCACAGAGAACGTTATGCTGCCTGTAACAAGGTTCAACATGACGGTTTTGGTGGTGGGTCAATGATGGTCTGGGGAGGCATATCCATAGAGGGATGCACAGACCTCTACAAGCTAGACAATGGCACCATGACTGCCATTAGATATTGGATCCACTGTCAGACCTTACGCTGGTGCAGTGGGTCCTGGGTTCCTCCTGGTGCATGACAATGCCCGGCCTCATGTGGCGAGAGTATGCAGGCAGTTCCTGGAGGATGAAGGAATTAATACTATTGAATGGTTCCTCACGCTCGCCTGACCTAAATCCAACCAGAACACCTCGCCAGACCAGAACACCTCTGGTATATCATGTTTTGGTCCATCCGACGCCACCAGGTTGCACCTCAGATTATCCAAGAACTTAGTAATGCCCTGGTCCAGATCTGGGAGGAAATACCAAAGGGCACCATCCATCGTCTCATCAGGAGAATGCCCCGACGTTGCCAGACATGCATACAAGCACGTGGGGGCATACAAACTACTGAGTACCATTATGAGTTGCTACAATGAAATTTCAGCAAAATAGACTAGCCTGCTGCTTAATTTTTTCAGTTTAATTTTCAGGATGTCTTTGAATTCAGTCCTCTGTACATTGATAATTTTCATTTCCATCAAATGATGGGGAATCCTTACATTCCTAACACACTACCCAGTCCATATCAGTATAGATATTCAGCATAATATGTTTCCCCATTGAGATCTGATGTGCTTTCAAAGTGATCCTTTAATTTTTTTGAGCAGTGTATGTTTAAACTTTTGTTTCCCTGGTAACATGTATGGAGCAAATATCAAAAAGATGTATTATTAGCATATAAAGAAAAGAAAACTAGTACTGATGCACTCATGAGAGTTTAATTAAAACAGCTTGAAATCCTTAACATATATAGTATAAAAAAATTACCACATAGGTACCCACCACGTGAAAACAAAAGACAGATTTTTTTGCACATCAAAAACACATCAGGGTATCCTCACATTTAAATGTTTGCTGCATATTCAGGATATTTTAATCATAATCTTTCCAGATATCCTTAACCTCCCTAGCGGTATGATTATTTCAGATTTTTTGGTGCTGAAAGCGGTACCATTATTTTGCATGGAAATATGTAGTTTTTTTATTGTAGGCTGTAATATTTAGGAATAACTCACTGAAATCTGTCCGAACAAGAGTCTATTAAACATCCCGGGTATGATAAAATTTTAAAACACAAAATCATAAATTATAATTTAATAAATAATCATAAAAAAT